TCAGCAGGACTGCCCTGCAGACGCCCAGGACAGCCATTGGTAGAGGCCACCTGGTGGGGGGGCGTCGGGGCGAGTGGCCCCTCTCCCCCTGCCGAGGGCGGGCAGACGGTGCGGCCCATCACGGCGCAGCGAGATTCGCCACGTGTTCGTCGTCGTCGTCGTCGTCGTCGTCGTCGCCGCCGCCGCCGCCGCCGTCGTCGTCGTCGTCGTCGTCGTCGTCGTCGTCGTCGTCGTCGTCGTCGTCGTCGTCGTCGTCGTCGTCGTCGTCGTCGTCTCCTCCCTCCTCCCTCCTCCGCCCTCCCTCGAGGCTGGTCTGTGAATACAGTCGACCAGTATCTCAGAAGGACGCTCGGCAAGGATGCAAGGGCCGTGGAGGGCCACGCGGCCGGCGAAGGTGGCCAAGGATGGACCGAGGAGGCGAGGCTGCCAAGGGGCACCCATGGGGGGAAGGTTGCCCATCCCTGCTGCGTGGGTTGGCTGCAGGCTTGCGCTCTTTCGGAAGGAGTTCCTCTGCGCAGCCGCTGCCTGCCTCGAACACATGTTCGCGTCGCGGCGCGGCAGAGGCGGTCCGCACGCGCGTCCAGGACACCCCGGGCTACACGAAGCTGCGAAGGGTCCCGCAGGCACGAGGCCCGCCGCGAACAGGGGCTGTCGCAGAAACCAGAGTCCAGCCCACACCGTCAAGAGGCCACGCTGCTTGCCCAGCCTTGGCTGAGGAAGGAGGGAGGGAGAGAAATTGGAGAGAAGCGGGGGAGCGGGGGGGGGAGCGACGGGAGGAGAGGGAATAAGAGGCCCCCTGGAGGCGGAGGGAGGGAGGGAGGGACCCTCAGATCCAGACGTCACAGCAAAAGACACGACTGCCAGTCTTTCAACGATCCTCAGCCTGTGGAGGCCGCTTCCCAGACCCCGGGCCTTAAAGAGACGGTCCGGGATGAGAAGCCGGTCCTGTGGGGAAGGGGCCAGGATCCCCAGAGACCCACGTGACAGAAAAACTGCGACGCAAAAGCTGCGACGCCAGAGGAGGGGAAGAGACGGATGGGAGGGAGGAGAGCAGGGATGGGGCGGGGAGGGCGTGAGCAAGAAGAGGAAGGGGGAGAGGGGGGGAGGTAGGATCAGTCAGCATCTGATCGGGAAACCGTGCTGGACTGGGACGTGAGTCGAATTTTGCCGCATCGGCACAGGGTCAGAATCGAGTCGGAGATCGGCTGCGCTAGGATTCGCTAGGATGCACGACAGCGCCATGCAAGCATCGGGCAGCATCGCACAGTGGGAACCTCGGGATCGAATCGGATCGGGCCGGCCGGACTCGATATCGAATCGGATCGGTCGAATCGGGCCCAGATGGAAGGAGAGAGGAGGAGGGAGGAGGATGGAGGAGGAGGAAGAGGAGGGATGTAGGGAGGAGGAGGAGGGAGAAGGAGGGAGGAGGAGGAGCGGAGGAGAGGAGAAGGGAGGAGAAGAAGGAGGAGGACGTGGAGGGTGGAGGAGGAGGAGGAGAAGGCGGAGGAGGAGGGAGGAGGAGGACGAGGAGGAGGAGGAGGAGGAGGAGGAGGGAGGAGGAGGAGGAGGGGAGGAGGAGGAGGAGGAGGAGGAAAAGGAGGGAGGAGGAGAACGAGAAAGGGAGAGGAGGAGGAGGCGGAGGAGAAGGAGGTGGAAGAAAGGAGGAGGAGAGGAGGAGGAAAGGAGAAGGAGGAGGAGGAGGAGGAAAGGAAGAAAAAGGGAGGAGGAGGAGAGGAGGAGGAGGAGGAGGAGGAGGAGAGGAAGGAGGAGGAGGAGGAGGAGGAGGAGGAGGAGGAGGAGGAGGGAGGAGGAGGAGGAGGAGGAGGAAGAAGGAGGTGGAGGAGGGGAGGAGGAGGAGGGAGGAGGAGGAAGGAGAGAAGAAGAAGGAGGAGGAGGAGTAGGGAGAAGGAGGACGGGAGGGAGGAGGAGGAGGAGGAGGAGGAGGAGGAGGAGGAGGAGGTGGGCGCCCAGAGGGGGGAGGGGGGGGGGCCCTTGGAGCCCAGGCCCCCGACGTTATGACTTTTTCATACAGCGTCGACCCCCAAAGCTCTTGGCCCAGTCCCCGTTTCTCATCCCGAGTCGCTTTTTGACGGTCCCGAGGCCGGGCACAGTCGAGGCTAGTCCACAAGAAACCTTCCACAAGAAACCCAACCCTGAGACCCCAGGACGTTCACGGATGTTTGGTGTGGGAACGTCGCGCTTCCCATCGCAAAAGCATCGAAACCAAAGAAATCCAGGGCGCCCTGGAGGCAAGCAGCTTGCTTCTTGGCATGGATCTCCACTGCAAGGGCCCCCCAGGGCCGAAAACCCAGACCCCCGACGTCATGATTTTTTCATGACGTCGACCCCCCGAGGTCTCGAACTATTCCCTGGGACCGGCTCCTCATCCCGAGCTGTTTCTTGACAGTCCCCAGGCCCGATGAGGGCCCCCCATCAAGGCCGAAACTGGGGAAAAACCTCCCGTGATGATGTTTTCATTGCTCGAGGGGGTCTGGGAATGCGGATTTTTTTATTTATTTTTGTTGGGGGGGGGGCCCTTTGGCAGGGCCCTTTGGCAGGGCGGGGGGCAGCACGGCCCGGGGCGCGGCCACCGCGTGCGCCACTTCGGCCGCCAGCCGGCCCGGCGTCGTGGCGGCCTCCGCGGCGGCCTCCAGGCTCTGCGGCGCTGCGGCCGCCTGCCGCCCCCCGGGCGCTCGACGCGGGCTCGCGCCGCGTCGCCGACGCGTCGGCGACGCGGCGTGGTCCGCCCCAGAGACCCAGACCCCATCGAGCAACGAAAAAATCTCGACGGGAGAGTTTTCGCCATTTCCGGCCTCTGGGGGCCTTATTACCGGGCCTCGGCATCGGCAAAAAACGACTCGGGATGAAGAACCGGCCCTAGGCAATAGGTCGACGTGATGAAGAAAACCATGACGCCGGGGGTCCGGGGATGCGACGCTCCAATAACCAACTGCAGCGGGTGGACTTTGGCCGTCCTCGGCCGCCGCGGGCCCTCGCCGGGCCTATCGCTCGAGCGCCAAGAGAAAAACGGCCTGGGAGGCAGAAGCGGCCCTGCGGGGAAGTGGTCCGGGCCCTCGGGGGCCCACGCCTCGACAGAGTTGGAGCAGCCTGGAGTCGGCGATACGTCGCCGATGGCTCAGCGACAGGCCCCCGACAGGGCAAGCGCACCTTCCTGGGCGGGGCGGGCTGTCGGGCCCCCACCGGCAGTCCATGGGCGGCTGGGGGTCGACGCACTCCGCCCTGAGCCGAGGCCCCCCCCGACGCTGCCCCCCCCTAAGACCCGAAGGCGGCGCCGACGCTCCTCGTGACCATCACCACCACCCCAGACGTCCGACGACGTGCTCTGTGCGCGGCCCCGGGTCCCCACCCCTTCCCCGGGGGGCAGGTGAGAACGTCTTCCTTTTGGGGCGTTTCGACGTGGGGCGCAGGGGGGTGGGGGAGAGGGCGGGTCTGGCCCCGGACCTCTGCCAGTAGTGCGACTGCTTGCACCAGTGCGACCCATGGGGGGGGCGACTCCACCTGCCTGAAACAGGCGTCACAAACAGCAGAGAACATCTACTCCATGGGGGGGGGAGGGCGGAGGATACGAGGGCCCGCGCCGATCGGCAAAACAATGAAGAAGAAAGTGATCACGAGCCTTTCGCCCCGGATCCATGTTTGAAGGCCCTGGGCCCCGAGAACCAGTCCCAAAGGCCGAAATAGATGGAAAAAGTCTAAAGCGCGAGCGCCCCAAGAGTTGCCGGGCTCTTAGTTTGGTCAGCCCCCGGGGCCAACCAGCCCTTGGGGGGGGATGGCTACGTCTGCACGACGTGTCTGCCGTCAGGGGGTCAGTGCCTCAGGAAGGACAATGAGGAGGAGGAGGAGGAGGAGGAGGAGGAGGAGGAGGAGGAGGAGGAAGAGGAGGAGGAGGAGGAGGAGGAGGAGGAGAGAGAGGAAGAGGAGAAGGAGGACGATCGACGATCAATTCAGCCATCAGGAACCAGGAAACAGGAAGAGGGGAGGAGAGGAGGAGGAGGAGGAGGAGGAGCATGTGGGAGCATGTAGCTAACCACACACGTGGTTTAGAGGAGGAGGAGGAGGAGGAGGAGGAGGAGGAGGAGGAGGAGGAGGAGCGATCTCCAACACAACCCTGCGACTGCACCAGAGGCCAACAAGGCCCCAACCCCCCACCCCCACGGCGCCGAGGCGCCGCCGGCCGCCGCGAGGGCGCTGCCCTCGGGGCCCAGGGCCAGCGGCTCCCGCGGACCGCGCCGCGGGGCATGCGGCGACAGCGCCTCGGTCGGCCGTGGGGGGCGCGGCCGGGGAGGTCCCGGCGGAGAGGTCCTGATTGGGCACGAGCTCATGGGGGGGCGATAACCCAGGGATCCGGCGCTCCAAAACATTTTCGAAGCGGGCGGTTTGGGACCGTGTTCGGCCTCCGGGGGCCCTCGCCGGGCCTCGTGGGCGGGACGCAAAGCCGGCCCTGGTGAAATGGTCCGGACCTCTGGGGCCCACGCATCTAGAAAAATTGAACAGGGTGTCTAGGAAATGAGAAAGTGGCCCTTTCCGGGCCCTGGAAGCCCCCTTCTGGGCCCCACAGGGCCCCTTTGCGGCAGCCCTCGCTGCCCCCCCCCCATCACGCGGCCTCCAACCCCAAGCTCCTGACGTCATGATTTTTCCATCACGTCGCCCCCCAGAGGTTTCGACCCATTCCCGAGGACCGGTTCCTCATCCCGAGTCGTTTTTGGACGGCCCCGCGGGAGGCCCAGCGAGGGCCCCCAGAGGCCGAAATGAGCGAAAAACCCTTCGTCGTGAGTTCTGTCATGGCTCGAGGAGGTCTTGGACCAGTGGCGGGGGGCGCACGGCCGGGCGAGAGGTCCTGGCCGAGGGGTCCTAGCAAAGCTGGCATCTCGGAACAAGATCGGGGCGGAGGTCGTTCCTCGCAGTCGGCCTCTCGGGTCCCGTGCCAGGCCTCGAGGGGCCGCCAGAGAAGGGCTCGGGATGAGGAGCCCCAGTCCCGC